CAAATGTTGCATGTTTTATAAAAAAAGATAAATAAGGGGGACCAGCAGTTAGCATAATGGCTATGTCGCTGGACTCCCACATAGTCTACCGCGGTTTGCGTCCCGGACCCGGTGGCTTAAAACACACCGGGCATGTGTGCGTGCATGCCCAAGATCCCGAGAGGAGAACGGAGGAGAAGGGATTGTGGCGTGGCCATCCCCTCTGGGGGGTGATTTCTTGCTTTCTGTCTCTCTGTCTCTCTCTGTCTGGCGAGCACACGAGCCCTATAGCAAAAAAAAAAAAAAAAAAAAAAAAAAGATAAATACGTAAACTCACCTTAGTAGTAAGATTGTGTGTGTGTTGAGTGGGTAGTTAAGTATGCTATGTCCTTTAAAACAGTTTAGCCATCACCCAGCTTTAGCAATAATCATTTTCACACTTTAGTTTCATATCATGTTAAAGTTCTTTTTATAATCGGGGAGAGGATACAAATATGGAATAATTTTAGACAGTATTAGAAACTTATGCTTAAGAATACATGGTAAGGGGCCAGCAGGTGGTGTGGTGGTTAAGCTGCTGGATTCCTACATGGCCAACTGCAGTTCGAGTCCCAGGCCTGGTGGTTTTAAAATCACGTCAGGCATATGTGCGTGCATGCCCCATATCCTAGGAGGGCAATAGAGGAGAAGGGATTACAAGATAGCCATCCCTTCTGGGGAAGTGATTTCTCACTTTCCCTCTCACTATGGCTCTCTGTCTCCCTCTGGGGAGTGTACACACCCTGTGACTAAACCTTAGGAAAAAAAGAAGGCATGCTAAAAAGTTAAGACAACCTACACAAATAAATCAATAATATACAGATTTTGGAATTGTAGTTGAATTTCTTTAAAAATGTCAATGTAATAGGGGACAGGAAAGGATAGAAATAAAGTTGGCCAAAAGGACTGCAAATAGTGGAGAAAAAAATGGTAGAAATAAGTCTAAATATATATAACAAATGTAATAAGTTAAATTTATATATTGGAAGACAAGAAACTATCAGAGTTGAAAATGCTTCTTACAAGAGATAGACCTTCAACAGAATGGTGTAAACAGGTTTAAATTGAAGGAAGGTAATAAGAGTCAAGAAAATCCTAACCAAAACAAGAGAGGCTAGAAGGACACAGTAGCATAGGAGTAAAACATGACTCTTTGGAAGGCAATTCCACATGGGAAGATTCCCAGTTCATATCCCAAGACCTCCCTGAGTGCACTGGGCCCATGCTTGCCATGATCCAGAGCTGGCTGAAAGATGGTGGTGGATTGTGGCCTCAAGAGCTCGATGCTGTCTTTCTGTCTCTCTTGCTCATTGAATAAATTAAAGCACACTTTTAAAAAGAGAAAGGAAAAGACCAACAGGTGGTGTGATGATGAAGACACTGGATTCCACATAGCTAACTCTAAGGTTCGAGTACCGAACCTGGCAGCTTGAAACACACTGGGCACATGTGAGTGCATGCCAAAAATCCTGAGAGGAGAATGGAGAAGAAATTACAGAATGGCCATGCTCTCTGAGGTTTGATTTCTCACTTTCTCTCTCTCTCTGTCTCTGTCTCTCTATGGCAAGTGCACATGCCCTATGGCAAAAGTTTAAATATATGTATATGAAACTCATGAGTTATAGCAAAGAGATAAATAATCTCAAGTGTAAAGAGGGACAAAAGACGTGTACAGACATATTTATCAGGAACAGTGAATACACATATGAGAAGATGTCCAATGTTATTAGTTACCAGGGAAATGCAAAATTTAAAAAAAAGAGAGATTTGATTTTCCACTTACAATATTAACAAAAATTAAAAACTCTCATCGTTTTGAGTGGAACAGCTAGGACATGTATATCCTGAACAGAAGATACAAGTTGGTACCATCTCTACGGTGAACAATTTGCCATCTTAACAGCCTGTGCCACCATGCTGGGCCACAGCTATTCTTAATATGTACCCCAAGATGAGACCAGCAGTTGGCATAATGGCTATGTCACTGGACTCCCATGTAGTCAATCACAGTTCAAGTCCTGGATCCAGTGGCTTAAACTCATGCCAGGTGCATGTGTGTGTGTGCTCAAGATCCTGAGAGGAGAATGGAGGAGAGGGGATTGCAGCATGGCCATTCCCCCCTGGGGAGTGATTTCTTGCTTTCTCTCTCTCTGTCTTCTCTCTGTATTTCTGGTGAGCGCACATGCCCTGTAGCAAAAACCTCTCCAAAAAGAATAAACAACAAAATTATTTATATATATATATACACACATATATATATGTATGTGTTTATATATACACACACATATATACACACACGCCCCCAAGATGGAAAGGAAAATACCTTCCTGGACAATGCAAAGACCTTAGAATGATGTATATAATGTTAAAAGTTAGTCACTTCAACAGTCAGTGTATTACGTATATTTTTTGAAAATAGGAAGTGAAATTTATTAAACATAAAGCACAACAGGAACATTTTTTTTTAGAACCTGACTTGATTTTTTTTTTAAATTCACTTGTTTATTTCTTGCATGAGAGGAAAAAAATCTAACAG